GGATTCCAGGGGGCAAAAGGACAAAGGGCAGATCCTGGCACTAAACTGTAACGAAGTCAGTCTAAAGCTGAGCACTCAGGTGCGGTGGCCTCGTTAGTCTCCATTTCTGTCTCCAAATCGACCTGGCCTTAGGTGTAAAGGTCAGGGCACTTTCTGGCCGGTGACTGCACCAGGCCAGTAACCCTTCCCTCTGGGGTTCCCGAGGCGGGTGGACAGCGCCCCAGGGCACCTGTTTACCGTACACTTGGTCAGAGGGTGTGGGGACCTGACTGAAAAGGGCCCTTTCACCAGGAGTTACCCCAGAGTGAGCACACTGCCCCACGGCGGGAGACCAGAGCAGGGTCGCCTCCTGAACAGCAGCGAGGCCTCGGAACCCCCATGCTGGGCACCGTGCGGACTCTGCCACAGCCCCTGCCAGCCAGGCGGACCCCCAGGGCACCCTGTCTGTGCCCAGCTGTGACCGAGCAGAAACGGGAAGGCCTGGCATCCGTCTCTCTCTGACTTGCCATATTGTTCAACATTTTAAAAAAGAACAACGTCCTTGCATCCCTCTGTGCCTTATCCCCCAAAGCCAGCCGCCGGCCGGCCAGCTCCACTCCCAGGGGCAAACTGTTAGGACCTGGGGCATTTTTTCAGATTCTTTATCTGGGCTCCGACCTGGGCGGGCGCCCGGTCCCGCTCGCCCATCAGAACCCGGCTCTTCGCGCGCCCCTCCTGGGTGGCACCCCGACCCTCCCCCACCCCCCTCCCCATCACTCCCCTGGCTCTGTTTCAATCACGTGATTGTCACCTACGAGAGTGTTGCTCTGAATCAGAGCCCGGAGGACCTTAGGGATGGAGTCCGGCTCCCACGCTTCACAGACGGGGAAACGGAGCCCAGGAAGTCTCAGGTTTCTAAGTCCAGCTCCCTCCTGCCCCTGCATCCTTCAGCCCCAGGGGCCAAAGTCACGCCCTCGACCCGTCTGCACCCCGCCCAGCAGCCCCCCGGGTCAGCGCCGGGCCCTGCTCCCTTCTCCGCTCCGACAGGAGCCTCGCCCGGGGGCCGACGCCCTGCTGACCCCTCCGCCCCGGCTGGTCACTAGCTCTCTGTCCCTCCGCTCGGTGACCGGCCCCGAGGCGCTCACAGCTCCGCCCGGCTCCCCAACTTCACGTCGCCGGGNCGAGCCCGGAGCCACGCCTACGCAGCCTCGGCTGCAGGTAACGTGGCGGGGGCCACGCCCCCAGAGCCCAGCCAAGGGCCGCGGCTGAGATGCCCCGAGTCCAGCTGGAGCGCGGGCCAGGCCTGGCAGCCGTGAGGGAGGCAGGGGCTCCGGGCGGGAGGGG